TGTGGACTGTATTTTAATATATAGTTACTTTTGCATCAAAATTAAATTCCTCCGTTATAATGAATACAGGAAGGATGCCTGGTTAGGAACTGGGGAGTGAAATGTCACAATGTCTTGAGACTTCCAATGTACCAGTTCAAAGAGATGTAGATGGCAAAATGATGAAAAGTAAAATACAACAGAATTTCTGTTTTACATAGTACAAAATAATACAAGACCAGATTAAACTTGTACAAAAACTCAAGCCCAACATATGAGTTTTACCTAAGAAACAGTTTATGTACTGGTTAGCTAATGTAGGTGGAGCTAGCTGGATGGGGCTCCTGGGAAAGCTGTTTCAAGAGGATATATTGGGGAGAACTGTCCTTCTGTCCTTCTTTCTTGCTCCTGCCACTTCTGAAGGCAGACTGTAACCAGCGTTAGAATGAGACAGCCATCGTACAACCAAGAAGAGAAGACTACAGCAAGTGCCACGATCTTGATCTTTATACAGCAGAGCTGCCAGTGGGCAGCTGTAAACCCCTACCCCATGCCTCTCTGCGTGAGAAAAACAAACTATTACAGAGGCTCCCTAATGCTCTCACTTCGTGGTATGCCTAGCCTGTCAAGTAACTTTTTTCATGGTGCCCGTAGGCCAAAAGAAACACCTAACAGTTGTGTTTATTAACTAGATAGGTGTCAACATGTAATAGCATTTATGTACTACCAACTTCTTTACTGCTTTAAAAAGTAATGCATATCAATTGCTATTTAATTTTAAACAACCACAATTAATAAGGAAGTGGGTGCTCCAATTGTGTGTTCCACTTTTTCTCAAACCTTGAAATAAGACTGGATAATGACACCATTTCCTGTTCACATTGAATTTTCACTTAGTAGTTGCTTTTTGTAATTGTGAGAAAATATACATTACATAAAACTTAAGAGTTCAGCAGCATTAAGTGCATTCACACTGTTGTACAACGGTCACGTTACCCATCTGCAGAACTTTTTCATCTTCCCCAATTGAAAATCTGTCCCCATCAGACACTAACTCCTCATTTCTTCTTCCCCAAACCCTTGTTAACCATCATTCTTCCTGTCTCTATGAATCTAACTATTCCAAGAACTTCACAGAAGAACTTCATTGTACAATACTTGTCCTTTTGGGACTAGTATATTTCACTTAGGGTAATTTACCCAAGGTTCATCTGTGTTGCAGCATATGAAGTTTCCTTTTTCACCCTAAACAGTACTCCAATACAGATGTAGATGTATAGTCATAAATAGAGCTATAGATAGAGATAGAGAGACAGACCTTTTTTTATTGACTCATCCAATACAGGACATTTATTTCTACCTTTTGGCTATTATGAATAATGCTGCTATGAACACAGGCACAGAAAATATTTGGTTTTTTTTAAACCACAACCACTGAAAACACAGCTTTGCAAAGATAAAAGGAACATTGTGCAATTTACTACTGAAACTGTCAATCTCCTCAAACTAGTAGTTTATCTGATGTTCAAAGGATGTCACATGTCACCACGCTTAAAATTTTAAATGCCCTAAGACTCCCTGAGTTTGTGTGGCACCCCAGTGATCTTGACACATTGTCTGGGAAGCGCACCATATGATGTGAAAGCCACTGTCATTCGCATTTCCAACTGAGCAGAGCTCAGTCCTTAAGTAATGCAAACCCTCCCATCAAATGTATACTTTTTCCACAAGGCTTCCACTAGATTCTCCAGTCTTTAAGTCATATGCTTGCCAATGTGACAATCCTTAATTTAAAATCTCTGTTCACAGCTCCACTATGTTCTTAAGAGTTACTATAATCACTCTCAAGGCTCAGAAAATGCACTTTCTTATCTATCATGTAAGTTGTACATTGTCCTTAAACAATGATACCTCAGGATAATGGTTAATTTTACACATGAATTTCACTGGGCTACAGGCTTCTCAAATATTTGGTCAAAAAATATTCTGAGTGTTTTTGTTGTGGTGGTTTTGAATGAGGTTAACATTTAAATTGGTAGACTGAGTAAAGCAGATTGTTCTACCTAAGGTGAACGATCTTCACCCAACCAGTTTAAGGACTGAATAGCATAAAAGGTTCACTCTTTCCCTGAGAAAGGCAGACTTATTTCCTCTCTGATTGCCTTTAATCTGGGACGTCAGCTTTTTTCTTGTCTTTGGACTCAAACGGAAACCCTGGATCTTTGCAAGTCTTGAGCTTGCCAGCCTTAAAACAAGGACTACACCATCAGCTCTCCTGGTTCTCAAGCCCTTAAGACTCAATTAACTATCCACTTTATTGGGGCTCCAGCTTACCCACTCACCCTGCAGATTTTAGGATTTAACAGTCTCCATAATCTCATGAATCAATTCATTATAATACATACATGCACACACATATATACAAACAAACATAGACATCCTGTTATTTTTCTGCAGAGCCCTAAAAAATATTCCCAGCATCACATGTTCTACCAGCATTCTCAAGACAGATCAAAATTTCCAAACTCCTCTGCATATCATTCATGATTCTTCACCTACTTTCTGCTTATTCCTTCTCCAGCTTTCTCCCTTAAGAAGTCACTGCACTGTCAACCTATGTAAATCACGTAGAAATTCATAAAATACTCCATGACCCTTCCCCATGAAGTTCTGAGTGCTTTTCTCCCTACCTAGAGTATGTTCTGAACCTCTCCTTCACGCACACATGTTCCATACACATGCACATACACACACAAACACACACACAGGACATACACTCTGCACAACTGCAAGGCTATCTCCTCACTATTCCCGTTTCCGCCTTGATATCTTACTGTCCTCCCAGATCCTTCTACGAAGTACAGGCAGAAACCCTTTTCTAAGGTTGCCATAGTACTCAGAGTGTATCCTATCAGAGCCTTTACTGTGCTTTAACTGCCCATACATTTGGTCTGAATTTTCCATCACTCTGAAAGCAAGGATCATGTTTTATTGGCTATTGTGTCTCCAGAATGATGGCTCGCTCATCGTGCTCAGTAACTTTTTGCTGAGTAAACAATCAGATAAAGTTCACACAGTCCTAAACCATCAGTTATTGGCATAATTGAGGAACTTTCAACCAAAATCTGCAAAGGGCATGTTCAACCACCTCTGACATCATCTGGACCACTGATGGTATCCAAGCTGTAGGGCCAGGAGAGAGAATAGCAGTGTCTTTAATTCCTTATCTGTGACCACGAATGCACCAACCATATTGATCCAGGACCCACACTGTGAGCTAAAAAGCTGAACCAGAAGACCACAAAAAAAAGGAATCAGGAAGCAGCACTATTTTTACATGCATTCCAAAGTGTACTGACCCTGAGAGTTAACTATCCCTTAAGCACCTGAAGCACTTTTTTAACCATGATCATAATTGTAGTCCTTTCTGGTCACCATCAAAGTAACTCCTTACTGGCTGGTGTTTCCAAAGTTACTTATTTTTTCTAGATCTTAGTTCGCTTATCAGTTCGATCAACCATAGCACACAGCTTGGGGCTGATGCGAGGAATAACTGAGACTATGTACTAGAGAGCACTCAACACGTTACCTGATACATACAAAGTTATGATATAATAAATGCAAGTTATTCATATTATCACCACTTTTACTGTCAGTCAGGCTTGTATACACAAATAACTACACAAGCAAGCTGCAGTTCACTGGTCAAGCACAAACTGAAAGACTTTAATGGGCCCACCCCTGAAAAATTAAACACTGGGGTTTGACATTAAGGAACTTAGCTTGACATGCCATGAACATAGCAATCTAATAATGACAGGGTTAGTTTAGAGATAGCCCCCAGGGAAACTTTTTCCTAAGCTAAACATCAGTACCTCTAAGAAAAAAAAAACTCAAAACAAAACCTAGACCAACTATTAATAAATAAAAAAAGAAGAAAAATTAAAGAGCTACATAAATGTTCAGTGTTTTGCTGGCTTTTTTAAAAATTTCCCCATTTGTTGTACCAACTCCTCCATACACAATAGCACACAGACACTATGACAAATAACTATTCTACATAAATCACTTATTCACCCTAATTAACAAGGTCAGTGGTTATTAGGAGGATTGCTAGCTAATATTATTGGATGGTGTAAGTGCATTTAATGTAAATATTAACGACTAAATCTAAAATATCTTAAGGAATATATAATTATCTGAATTTGCATAACAAAGCCTTATTATATTTTACACAATATATATGCTCTTTCTACCTCTAGCCTAAATACACACACCATCTGCAATTAACTTCATTAAGTTGATATCAGTTTCTACAGAGCATCATTCAAACAATCTGCTATTCCCCAACAATTATGTTTTGATTTAAAATATACGGTAATGCAAAATTATTGAGTTAAAAAAGCACATTCTCTCTGCATTTCAAGTTAACTAGGTTTTCTAGTTCTTCACAAGTACAAAACACACCTTTCAATTACTCTCTTCTCTCTTGTTAGCAGCTATACTACAAAAATTATAGGATTTGCTCATCAAATAATTTTTATCACTTATATGTACCAATTCTTCATTTTATTAGTTATTAAAATTCCTCACTTTTTTATCTTCTTCCTTCCAAACATCACCTTTCTTCTAGTATTTCTAACACTAGCATAATTGACAGTCCCAGTAAACCCTCCCATCTCTGACCCATAGGCAGAGCTACATGTACCCAGAGGGCAAGATCTTTTTAGGGCAGAATCACCACCTGCTCCTTTTCTCTACGTCTGATCTTCCTTTTTTACCCTCACTCTGTTTCACAGTCCAATGAGGTGCCCCAAGCTTGTGCCCAGCATTCACACACACAAATACGTACCCACGGCCTTACTGGGCAAGCTACAGGTCTTCACAGTCATAGTCATGAACTTTGACTCTGACACTGAGTTGAATTACATGTTTTTCTATAGAATTTACTGGCAGGGAAGGGACTGGGGGAGGAAAAAAATAGTTTCCACTTTTAAAAGAACCCAAAAAGACAATCCTACCTTTCCCAGGATTTGGAGGAAAAGGGCTTCCAAACTCTTGCTGCTTTGGCTTTAAAGGGTGTGTCCCTGACATGCCTCCAGGCTGGGGGACCTGGAACCTCGGCTTCTCATTGGTGAGCACGTGTCTCCTGGGGCTGAGAGCGGGCAGATGGATAGGGCTCTCAGCCACACTGTGCTGAAGAGCCATCCCTCCTCCCAAGGGCGTCTTGCGATGCAGGCTGTTAGGAAGGCTTCCAATAGCGGGGCGTGGTGTGTTGCCACAGGACAAGGGGCCAGGAGTCCCTGAGTGGGTTCGGATGGGAGGAATATGTTGGCCACTGACCACCCCAGGGCCCTGTGGGGTTCCCGACGTACGGTGAAGACTCATGCTGCGTGACCTTCCATTCATCCTGAAAAACCTGTGGCCAAGATGGTCAAACATCCAATGGCACTAATGACTCCTTTCAGGCAAAGTCCAACAAGTTATCCATGGTGTGGGTTATAAGCCTGTTCAAAAAAATAAATGCAGGCATTTTTAAAAGTAAAAATGAAAATAAAGTACAGAGTTTTCAACTTGTGTAGCATTCATATCAAGAACAGGAGAAGCCTTAGCAAAATGGCCTTTTATGTAGAGCAAGGTCATAAAATACACGGCTCATTGGCAGGCACTCTTCCATTCAGAATTCTCGGGAGACATGGATTACGGATCACTATATTGCTTCGTTTGCCACTGAGCTCTTCTCAATAGGGTGCTCTTGGCAACTACAATGAATCTAGTGGTGCCAGCTTGCAAAATTAAACTCATTTTGATCCCTAAAGGTGCTGTCCATACGAGCTCACTTTTTTTGCAGTGAGCCTTGGGAAACAAAAAAGCACTACCTTCATGAGCTGTGAGGCCGGTGCTTCAAAGGTCCCAGGAAACAATCACAAAACAGACCTAGCCTCTAGAGGGGATAATGGGGACATTACACCATCTCTCACTTTCACTCTAAGGCGAAGTTTTCCATACCCCTAGATTTACAAATGTCTTTGACATTAAATGCCATCATGCTATCCAGCAGTCCTAGGAGACACTCAATAATACTCAATAGCCCCTAAGTCTGGGAAAAGTCCCAAAGGTTTTACACATCCTTGTATTTAAATATTCACGGTAGTATTAGAGTCCTGGTTCAACATGATAGAAAGCACAAGGACAGAGCAGCCCTCCTAAAGGTGAGCTATTCAGTATGTTCACTGTGCACTATACTGTATAATGTTTATCAGCCACAGCCCCACAAAACTTCCTAGGAGAGAACCAAAAGAATCACTGGTAAGACCACAGGACACCATTATCCACTCATATGTATGAAGTCAGTACTTATGCTTCTAAAACATCAAGAAGACCCTTCCCTCCTTTGACCAGCTGCTCCCCAAAGTGCAATGCAGTTGGTGGCCAAGCGCCATGGCAGTGCCACTTCACATGTATGACAGACGCCACCCACAGTCTGCTTTTCATATAGGCATGACAGTCAAGGAAAGAAGCCAAGCTACACATAGGAAATAAGGACTGAGCGCAAAGAAGTAGTGCTCACATATCTTCAGTTCAACAGTTTTCACTTTTTTTTAAAATAATCCGCTCAAGGTTGTAAGACAAATCTATTCAACTCAACTCTCAAATGACCCTATGTACCATTAAAGAGAGAATATCGGGGGGCTGGGGATTTAGCTCAGCGGCAAAGCGCCTGCCTGGCAAGCACAAGGTCGTGAGTTCGGTTCCTGGTACCGGAGAAAAACCAAAAAAAAAAAAAAGGAGAGAATATCGGGGGGGGGGGGACTTTTTGTGAAGAACTTTTTTTCTTTTATCATTTTAGGAAATCAAAAAAAATTTAAGTTTCAAGTCAAATGTTCACTATGCCTGCTGTAAAGTTTACCATGTGTGCCTATGTTGAAGAGCTTCAAACGCAATTAGCATCCAGGTATGGGGGCTCACACCTGTAATTCCAGCTACTCAGGAGGCTGAGGCTGGAGAATCAGAAGTTTGAGTTGAGTCTGGACAGTGTAGTGCTTAATGAGACTGTGTGTGTGTGTGTGTGTGTGTGTGTGTGTGTGTGTCTGAAATTTTTTGTCTTTGACATTAAATACTATCATCTCATCCAGCGGTCCTAGGAGACAATCAGTAGTACTAATCTAAATCAGGGTTACTCTTCCCTTCATGCCCTCCCTTCCATGAATGGACAAGTGAGCCCTAATTAGCCAAACCTCCACATTTTACATTTGTCTATGGAACAATAAGAAATAGACCCTGAAATCTCAGTCTGTATGATTCTTTTTCATACTGGAAAAATCCTAGTGCCTCCTCCATTGTGTCCATGTAGAACTTGAGTGCTCTACCAGTCAGCCTGTTGATTCATTCATTCGCTAATCATGAGCAAGAGTCATTTAAAGTCTCTGTGCTTTGCCAGATAAAATTAGCCAACTATTCTCCTTTCATTGATAAAATATTGTTTTCTGAGCCCTCTGAACCCTGAAGAAGAAAGTACTTATTCAGCACCCACCAAAAGAAGGGCAAAGAAATATGTCACACTGGCAATTTTTTGAAAAAGAAAATTGTTCAACATGACTGGACACATGAGTCACTAAGACCATGGTCCAAGTGACAAGTGTCTGCAGATTTCCAGACTGTGCCCATTTCCAGGTTCTTAAAAATAAGGGAGTCATTTTTGGCAGCAAGATCATATACAAGCAGGAATTCTCATCGAAGATGTGGATGAAAACACGTAAGTACTTAGCACAAAGCTCAACCATTAGAAAGGTGTGTCTGCAACAAGGAAAAATAAAGTACTGAGAAGTTAATTAGATATCAGGCTTTCACACCTATCTGCCTTGCACTGAATATTTTATTTTCTCATAAAATGCAATCCTGTTTTAAATAGTATTAGCTTGAAAGTAAAATCAGCAACAAAATGTACTTAAATTTTGTTACTGAAAAAGCAACACCCAGAAAATAAGGTAATTAATACCATAAAGAAAAACCAATAGGGCAATGACACGTGAGCTAAGCAAAACCAGACTCAAGACAGAAAAGAAAATATGTAAAAATGTGCCTAAAATTCCAGTTTTTCACATTAAATACGCTAATGAATTTTTCAAGCATTAGATACCGGAATGTAAAATTCAATTTTATTTGTTCACATTATAATACTCTTGTATATTTTTTGGCTAAGCTATACAATTACCACAGAATTCTAAATTCCCTTGTGTCTTGGTTACTTTTTTCTGGTTGCTGGTACAAAATACCTGACACCCAGAATTAAGGAAGGAAAGATTTATTTAGTTCACAGTCTGTGGAGGTTTCAGTCCACACTCGGCTGGCTCCAAGGCAGGGTGGCACATGGCAGAGAACAACCATTCATGGTGGCGGAAAACAGCAAAAGCAGCAAGAGCAAAGGCAAGCAGCCTCTTTCCCTCCCCTACATTGTATACAAACTATCTGCCCCAGGGAGGGTGTAGAACTCACACCCATAATTCCACCAATGGACCATGAATCAATCATAAATCTAGAAGCCTGCCCCATGACTGCATGAGGATTTGGGGGGACATGCAGACACAAACCATAACAATTTGGTAATACAAAAAAAGAATCAATGGGTATATACCTACAGTCCCAGCACTCAAGAAGCTGAGACAGGAGGAACCCCGTGACTCTGAAGCCAGCCTGGGCTAGATGAGGAGTTTAAAGCCAGACTGAACTATACAGCAAGACTCTGCCTCAAAAAAAAAAAAAAAAAAAAATCAACAAACAAAAGGAATTAATTGTTCTGTTTAAGAGAGACACAAGTCCATAGAGCCAGCGTGAAAGCGCATTCAACAAGTCAAGATATCTGAGTTCTACCCTGAAAAACCATTTATAACTTCTGTTTTTTCATCCACAAAACACTGAGGAGTTTGCTGTAATCACTATGGTCTCCTGACATTTTGTTAACCTGGATAATCTGGATGAGGAAGATTATTAAAATATCCATTTATTATAATCAAGAAATATGTACATTTTGTGTACTTAAATCTAGGGGGATTGAATGTAGGGGGCACTTAAATCTAGGGGATTGAATAGACACAGAAACAAAAAAAACAACACCTCTGCAAACTCGAACCAAGTAAGAGCGCCTAAGAAGGCTCTCCCAACAGCAATGTGCAGAATGACATCAACCAGGAAAAATGAATTGAGAATTAAACTTGCACTTTACAAAGAAAGGAAAATCAAAAATGATCAATATAAAAAATGTAACTAGTACAATTCAATTGGAAGACACTCTTTAATAATTTGATTGAATTTCCAGCATTTTCTTATCTGTCTTCTACCCAACTACTCTACCCTAGGCCACCAAAAAAAAAAGGAATAAAGGAGCAACCGAAGTATAATAAATTTAAATTTAAAATATTTTGGATGTGACATTGACATATTTAGATTTTTATACTCCCTTGGTTGACACAATAAAAATGTTTGTTCTGTTAATGAGTCAACATAAGAGTTAATAAATCTCTACTTTTGACTACTTTCAAATTCTTAAAACACTCCCGTAAATCAGGTCAGAGAGGAAATGACTTAACCCCCTAAGGAAACCAAGGCACAAGACCATCTAATAATTCCACTAGTTTTCTGGAAAACCATGACTTTAATCAAAATATAACATCATGACTCTACCTTCTACCTAAGACTCTAGGCACTGCTCTGCTTAGATTAAGAGATTAAATGAATGAAAGCAATGTTAACTTATCCACTCAAGAAAATTCCAAAAATACAAGTTCCATAATGCCTATTTACAGCCAAAGGCCCTTTCTTAGTAAATATCATTAATAGACTCATCTAGAGTCATAATTCATCTGATGAGCCAGTTAATTATTAATTTTCATACATCATTTCATTTCCTTAGGCTACATTTAGCCTTTGTTATATTTTCCATTCCTTATGCCACAAGTATTTCTTGCCCTGCACAGAAAACCTGACAAAGAGGCACAAAACACAGGTCAGAAAACTGCTCCATATATACGTACACATATACACATAGTCCACTTGAAGTAGAGTTCTTATTGATTCTTTTCATTTTTCCCTTTGGGTTACTGACGGTATAATTTCATTAACACTGCCTTTTCAATTCCTCTGCCTTGATCGTTTAACAGTTCCGTGTTATTCCCACGGGCTTCTCTTGTTACAGCTTTTGTAGCCAGAATATAGAAATGAAAAGCCTATTGACAGATAATATAAGTTATTCTCATGCACTGCTGCAGTGTGAAGCACATTTTGCATTCAATCAAGAACAGATAGAGCTGAATGTTCTTAGATCCCAAGAGTTCATTTTAATAAGCAGAATGTACCTTGTCCTAACACAGGTGACTGACTCCTCAGAAAAGATTGTATAAACAAAAACCAATCATGTAAGTCATTTTATTGGCAACAATATAAACACAGCTATATTAGATGTCACCAATAAATCAAAATTATTCTTGTCTGCAATTTTAACAAGAGGAAA